ATTTTGGGGTAAAAAAAGAGCGTCTTATACACCGAAAAATACGGTAGCCATCTTTTCCGTGGCAGAAAAAAAAACGTATTTAAGCAATCAATGACTGTTGTACCGGATTTTTCACAATTCCTTATAATAGTGTAAATTTACATCCAACATTGTTTTATTGTTTTCAGTTGCCTCATTACATTAGAGCAAATCGTAGACATTAGTGTTATAGATCAAGCAGAAGAAGCACTTCAGGTAACTAGGAATTAGTGTGCATTTCGTTGATGACGGCGCCTATTTTATTGTTTGTTTGTTTTTGAATTTCGCGCAAAGCTACACGAGGGCTATCTGGGCTATCCCTTCCTAATTTAGCAGTGTAAGACTAGAGGGAAGGCAGCTAGTCATCACCACCCACCGCCAACTCTTGGGCTACTCTTTTACCAACGAATAGTGGGATTGACCGTCACATTATAACGCCTCCACGGCTGAAAGGGCGAGCATGTTTGGTGGGACGGGGATTCGAACCCACGACCCTCAGATTGCGAGTCGAGCACCCCAAACCACCTGGCCATGCCGGGCCACGCGCCTATTTTAAACCTATCAGTCAGGCTTAATACAACTTAGTTTATAATTAATGATAATAATTTACATAAAATATTTAAATAAATCAAGGAGATGCTACGAGGTCTAACTATCCAAATGAAACCTAGCAAGTTTACTTTAGGCTTATAAAGGTTTATATTAAGTGTATTCTAGAAAAACGGCTTTGAATTAGGCCTAATGTAAGCAACCATAGTACTGATTTTTTGTTTTTACTCTATTCTCATACTGTATACATAAGGACCCCAATGACTCAGCAGTAAGTCTGAAGGCTTATAACGCTATAAACCGGGTTTCGATACTCGTGCTGGGCACAGATAGACCATTGTGTAGCTTTGTGCTTAACTACTAACAAACTAAATACTTAGGTTATCATAAACTTCACACTTTGACAGTTTACAAAATTGAAATTTTTAGTAAGAAAATCGTTTATATGACCAATGTGGCCAGAAATATAACATGTCACCAAGATGATAACCGTAACTCTTTCTTTGTTGTCACTCAATAACGTTACTTTTTTTTTTTCGTATTAATAAGGGAATAAGACCTCTTATTAAGTTTGTAGTATCAAAATCCGTGTAAACCAACATAAATTGTTTTTGGTAAAAATAGAGCAACAAAATTCCTTTTTTCTATTCAGAATACTCGTATTGACATAAATATATTTGGTGTTTGATTTTTTGATTATTAAAATATATCTTAAATATTATCATTCAGTGTAAATCTGTTTAAGAGCTCTATTTGAAATGTTTATCTATTAGTTTGTTCGTTGTAAAGCAAAGCCACATTGGGCTATCTACTTTGTCCACTGTAGGGAATCGAACCCCGGATTTAGCATTGTAAGTTGTAGAGTTACAGCTGTACCCATGACGGGGGGTGATTATCTACTTGTGAATTTATGGAGAAAAAAACAACAACCTTAGGTTTCATTTTTGAAAATATAAACTACAAACCTGTTTTAAATCCGGGCTACCTTATGAACAATGTTTTTTGTTGTTGTTGTTTGTTTTTTTTTCCTTCACTGGAAAGGATAAATAGGCCCTTATGGAGAATATTTAGGTTATCTTATACATGTGTGAGTACCCCTTCAGGAGAATAGGATAAGCCTAGCTCTATTCCCCCATCCCCAGTCATCCCTCCTCAAATATTAAAATTTTAAACGTAAATATATATGTAATATTATGTTCAATTTGTTTTAACGTAAATTTAATATATTTTTATGAATATGATACCATGTTCACATTATGACATTGATGTATGAAATATACTACAAACAAAATGCTATATTGTACTTTACAATGTATCTAAAAATTAAAAATCAACTTCCAGGTATCGAACCACCCGAATAAAAAAAAAGTAGAATAAAATACATTCACTGACTTGACTTAATCTCATTTTACACAATAAGTATTATAATGTAAGCCTTACTTTTTTCACATAGTCTATTTTAATGGTAGACAGCATAATTTTATTTTATAGGCTAGGCCTACTGTTTGCTTTTTCACACACATAACATTCTAATTCTTCATACATTTCTTTTGTGTGCGAGGTAAAATATATGATGTATTAGTAGATGTATAATTAATAATCTATAACTAAATAGGCCTATAATGATATATTCTAAATTAATTGTTAACTCAAACTTACCAAAAAATGCCAAGTGTGCGTAGAATTTATTAGTATAAAGTATATGTTAACGATAAAATTACCAGTTCGGCTAGCAGACGATAGACGCGTGTATCAACGAAAAATTGTCGTTTTGCGCACCTTCACGTGAGGGAAGAGTGACTTGCGCAGTGAACGCGGCGGACAAACAAGCAAGCAAACAAACAGAGAGATTTTGAGTTTTTTATATAGATGTCTAAAATTATAGAACTATATCATATAGTACAGATTCATATTTATGTTAATCTCATCTTTATCTCTCAATTATTTTCTTTAAAATATTACCACAACTCTTTTACGCTGTTAAACACTTAAAACTGATCATACCCTGTCAATACCATACTCCAAATAGTCGAGTCAGTTGTTAGATAACGCCATCAATCGTAGGTTATAAACACGTGTAATTTGGGTTAGATCCCAGGGTAACACAGGCAACCCATTGTATAGATTTGGACTTAAGGAACAAACGCGTATACTCTTAACATGTACCAGTTGTAACTTACAAACGTTAAATTCACCGTGTTTGTTCAATCTTACATTAGGTTGATGCTGTAAGAAACAACAGTGGCATTCTTGTGTGATTTTTGTTGTTGTTGTTATTTAAATTATTTAATACAAATACATTCAGTGAGATATTTAGAATTAATACATTTTTGCAGGCTGAAGCGTCAGACTGGCATATGGCTGTGGTTCATTCTCAACTTCTTACAAGTGTAAGTACAGGAAACCCAGAGTAAACTTTTCACTTTTTCTAATTCTGTTCTCCAAGTAGGGGTTTCATCTAAAACCAAACCAAAAGAACATTGTCGTTCTTTTTATTTTACAGTATTTTGTTCGTTTGTTTTAGAGCAATGTTACACGAATCGAACCCCGGATTTTATATTATTACTTTTAGTCAGTTGTAGTGTTTCGCTTCCTGATTGTAAATGTTTCTTGGACACAATGTAATCTTGATCTTATCAGTCATTGGATTACGTGGCCTGACGGTCCTTGGTTGAATATAAAAAAAAAACCTTACCTATGAAATGGAAAATTTATTAGTCTGAAAGTGAAAACGGAATTGTAAAAATAATTAGGCCCGACATGGCCAGGTGGTTAGGGCGCTCGACTCGCAATCTGAGGGTCACGGGTTCGAATCTCCGTCCCACCAAACATTCTCGCCCTTTCAGCCGTGGGGGCGTTATAATGTTACGGGCAATCCCACTATTCGTAGGTAAAAGAGTAGCCCAAGAGTTGGCGGTAGATGGTGATGACTAGCTGCCTTCCCTCTAGCCTTACACTGCTAAATTAGGGACGGCTAGCGCAGATAGCCCTCGTGTAGCTTTTCGCGAAATTCACACACAAAAAATAATGATAAATTTCTGTATCTTTGTTGTTGTTTTTTGTAACTTAACATTTGAGAAATTATTTAATTGTGTTTAGGTGGTGTTACGCTTTAGCCGGTTTAATTAAGTCATTTTAGTGCCTATTTGAATGCATTTGAAGTAACTTATATAATGTTTAACCATTTCTTTCTAAATAAGATATTAATCGATCTCCGTACGAAATTGCTCACTGTCCTTTCACTCACTGCTTTTCTTTTCTGCTAGGTAATGAGATACCAGAGATAAAAATTTAAACTTTGAACTCAATAGTGAAACTTTGAGACTTACAACAACACTACTTCAGATTCGCAAACAACTTATGAATTTGATTACATAAAAAAAAACGCTCTCTGCAATCCTCTGTTTTTCCTCATTTTATTTATCCAAAACTTCATCCTCACGGTTCAGCACTGCACGAATTGCTTTATATAGGTGTATGTACGTGAATTTTTATATATTTTCCCCGCGCCAAATGAATGCTAATAAAATATATATTCTTTTCTTTTTTTTTTATATCGGGTTCTATATCTTTGTAAACTATGAGTTCAGTTTGGGTCTTTATGATGGTTTGTTATAGAGCAATCAGAGTTAACTCGTTTTCCTGGGTTTTATCTTTTGTTTACAACGTTTTACTAAGTTAACCGAAGCTGATAACACCCTGATAAGAGAGTCTGGAGACTTTATTGCATCCTACAAAACAAAGGAGTATAAGAACCGATAAAAAATAACAAAAACAACTTATTCTCTCTGCTAAACTATCAGATCGACCGTTATGCCTAAATGTATCCCAAAACTATGTTAACGAAAGTATAACTTGACTTGAAGAATAGGGTATCCTTTAAATATATTAAAATTATGATGATAGTTTATTTGTTTGTTTTTTTAAATTTCGCGCAAAGCTACACGAGGGTTATCTGCGCTAGCCGTCCCTAATTTAGCAGTGTAAGACTAGAGGGAAGGCAGCTAGTCATCACCACCCACCGCCAACTCTTGGGCTACTCTTTTACCAACGAATAGTGGGATTGACCGTCACATTATATAACGCCCCCACGGCTGAAAGGACGAGCATGTTTGGTTTAACGGGGATTTGAAATTATAATAATAGGATTTTGTTTATTAAAACTTGTATAAACATACACAAGTAACGGTTAAATTATGTTTGAATAGTTAAAAGAAACAACGTTTGTTCTGTGTTGTTGTGTTCCTTTTTTTTATCTAAGTTTTTGTTTCCGTTCAGCAGTCAATTACAGCCGAACGTTTGAAGGAGATCGTCGCCACCTACAGAGAGAATCATCAACGTGCGAACACCATATTCTCCAAGTGCTGTCTACATTAAATATAAAGCATTCAATTAAATCCATAGTTTGTTTTGTTATTTTCTACAAAATAGTTTTAAGTCTGTCTTGGTAAATTCGAACTTTGAAATGAGAATCATATTGTACCCGTCTTAAAGACGAAAATTAATTGTTGGTTATCGTTACTGTCCAACTACAAGCGTTGTATTTTCACTTGCACTATTTCCATATTTTGTCATTTTATATGCCCCCACCCCACCCCCTCTAAAATTTGCAGCTGCTTCTGCGCTACTGGGTGACGGTTTTAAGTAAAACAGGAGAAAGTTTTAATTTACTTAACCCCCCCCCCCCCTAGTAGCACAGTGGTATGTCTGCGGACTTACAATGCTAGAAACCGAGTTTCGATACCCATGGTGGGCAGAGCACAGATAGCCCATTGTGTAGCTTTGTGCTTAATTACAAAAAAAAACTATTCTACTGCCCCCCCCCAGTGGCACAGCGGTATGTCTGCGGATTTATACTGCTAGAGAAACCGAGTTTCGATACCCGTGGTGGGCAGAGCACAGATAGCCCATCGTGTAGCTTTGTGCTTAATTCAAAACAAACAATACTTCAACCCGTTTCAGAATTCCATCTCATAATTTCTGAATTTCCAACAAACGAACGAACGTTTCAACGCTTTTTTTTATATATAGTTAAATATTTGATCTAACAAAACTGGTTAAAGTTTCGTTTTATATCCAGAACGAAAAAGTTAAACCTGGATTACCACGCCTTCTGCTATTTTCATTTCAAACATCTTTTAATTCTCCGGTTACGAAGAGTTGAGTATATATATATGAATTCGTAATCATATAAACCAAGTTTAATCCAAACGAGAAGCAGCCGTTTCGTATAACACAATAGCTATATCGTAAAGAATATCAGTGACGTCACAAAATGTTTGTCTTGCATCCCGTAAAAAAAAAAAATGGCATCGAATACGATACGTGTCGGATATGCATAATTAACAACGTTTTTCTTTCAACAATTTTGTTACGAAACTTCTGTTTGAATTATTATAACGAAGTTTTTTTTAGTTAAGTATACAAAATGATGAAATAAATTATTACGGGCTTTAAATAATAATAATGTATTCTTAATTAATGTCTAAATCAAAGTAGCTAACCAATCAGATTGATTGACCAGTAAAGGTATTTAATAATGGCTGGAGACGGCTTGAATGGGTAATGAAGAAAAACTTTGATATAAGTTTTAACATAACAGCAAATGTACAACGTTTCGTCATCATCAGGTGATGATGACAAAACCTTGTCGAAACGTTGTACATTTGCTGTTATGTTAAAACTTATATCAAAGTTTTTCTTCATTACCCATTTAAGCCGTCTCCAGCCATTATCAGATTATAAATTGTTTTGTCATAACGGCTAACTTACAAAAAAA